AAAAATGAAAATATTAATTTAAGAATGATAATTGTTTTGAAATAAACCAACAGGCTTTATAAATATCATAAATTTATTTCAATTTCTCTATTTTGAGAACGACTGGAAATAATGACGTCATAAATACTTTTTTTGTAATCGCCAGTCCTCTTTTCCTTATCTTTTCTGATCTTTCTCGTGTTTTAATCCGAGTAATTTCTTTTCCTCTTTCTCCTGCTGAGTTACGATACTTTAAAGTGCAAAGGGAACCAACTCTCTCTTTTTTTGTCCTATTGCTAGTCTCTCTGTACTTCAGGGGCTTCGTCAATTGTGGATAAAATAAGACACAAATACACAGAAAAATGTTAAACGCATGATAGTCTGATTAACATTCACACTACCCAAGAGTACTTGATATAACTCGGGGTAATTGGGGATAAACCTCGCCATTCACGCTAATAAATTACATTTCTACATTCATTCACACTACCCCAGAGTACTCAATATTACTCGGATTCATTTTTCCTTGTACTTTAAGTTTTCTTCGCAAAATCTCACACTACTTTAAATGTATTCTTTCAAATTTTAACATTATTGATGATGTATGTCTTATTATTAAATATTGCAGATATTCTACGTACACGTGCGAGCACACATACACATCGAAACGCACGATAAAATTTACTTACGTACGCAAAGAAAGATTTTCCGTTAGGCTGATAGATTAAAGAAAATAAGAGACCCCTTTCGAAATCAATGATTTCCATTCTTCCGTTGTTATCTAATAGAGAAAATGTAAATTGAAGTCGGATTTTAAAGTGTGTGAGCTAAGAAGGGCCAGGAGATATGAGATAATTGAGATCGCCACCAAGGTCGAAGAAAGTGAATCAGTGAACTCGAGAGAGCCGGACGATAACTCGTCGACCTCCAGTCGCTTTCTGTTTCCTTGACAAAGAAAACTATGATACAAACAATTTTTTTTATATATTTAAAACATTTAAATTGTTTCGGGCGAAAAAAATACAGGCTTGGGTGTCTGAGTTTTGAAAATTCTTGGAAAAATCTACGGAAAAACGTTCCTAATCGACTTCCTAAGTTAATCGGTTAAGGATATTTTAATGGAAAAAGATCTTCATTTGGAAAATAAATTTGAAATTGAACATACGTTTACTACAGGGGATTTACAGGCTCACCCTCAATTCGGGCTGACTGACTCACAAGGTTTTCCAGGTCGATACATCTAAAAAAGGGTTGAGTTTAATTCCCAATTGGTTTAGCCTTGATAAAATCCAATAATGTTGAGAAAACTGACTTGCTGTATAGTTGAAAACTTGTCACATGTGTATTTTATGAATACATCTTAAACATAGATAATGTTGCACAGAATGTGAAAAAAAATATGTTGTAGTTTTTTGGAAGTCTGAAAACCGTCGGATTGCCCCTTTCAAAAACACGTGCTCCTATGGCCTCTGCTTTGGGAAACCCCCGTTAAAAATAAATTCATAAAACATATCCGAATTATCTTTAAGCAAATTTTTGTCGAACGTGACATTCGCATTAAACAAATTTCTACGGCTATATGCCGGCATTTGTATTTATTCGTTAAGAAATAGTGTTAACTATTAATGTCCATAATTGTTAGAATTGCTGTGCTATGCAATAAACAACATAGAATAAGTTAGCAACTTCAATAAATATTATGTTTCTTTCATAGGTGCTGCGTCTTTTTTGAATATTTTTGCACTGAGATCGTTCTGATCATCATTGATCTTCCATGATGACCCGAATTACATTTAAAAGCTTATATATAAAATTTGTCATTTTGGTCAAAAGTTTTGGTATTTTACCAACGTCAGTGAATATCTCTATTTTGAATTATTTCTCTCTCTCTCTCTCCCTCTCTCCTTTTCTCTCACTCCCTCTCTCCCTTTCTCTCTCACTCTCTCTCTCCCTGTATCTTAAATATTTATTTATAATTTTTACATTAAAGGTATCAATCGGGAACTGTATGTGTTTAACATGTTTATATTCACAAGCATACAATCACTACTAAAAAAATAATTTATTTTATCATTGAAGTAATGAGAACGGTTTTCTTTCGCATACTGATTTTCATTCAGCACTGCTAAACATTTCTTGACCAAAATACCCAGCGAGGCAGATGGACAAGCATGATCATAGCAGATCCAACTGCAGATAAACAGTACGCTATTTTAAGGAAAACATATTACATTTTTGTCAGATATTAATTATTCTTTCACATTAAACATAAAAAAGACATAAATCAATAATATTTGCATACAAACGCTAGGCAGGTTGTTAGTGTTTTAGGCCTGCCAGTTAGAAAATAATTAATTAATTAATTAATCTTGGGAAATAGTGATGAATATGCAAAAGTACACTTCAGAGAATAATATTTTGACGATTCAAGACTATATTGTCTATAAATTGTGGCAAGACGATTGAATATTTCTATGTGATTAAGGACTATGTTAAAATCCCAATATATGAAAAAGTTTCTTACATCGTTTCATTATCTTAAAATAAATAAATAACAAAAAACCTAAAACCACCCTGAACATGTAGGTATTTGTGTAGTACAGTAATTTTTTCGGACAGCCCATCGACTCTCGGCAAACAATGTTGAATTGTCAAATAAATTTCGCACCTCAGGGCGCATGAATGAGCCAAGCCGTGCTTTTTCCTTAGTCACAGGACGTCTCCATATTGAATACCTTTTCCTATCCTTCCTACGCTTTTCGAAAGAATCACTTCTGAAGAAAGTCCAAATCACGCCTCAAATGAGGCAAATTAAATCAGACATGTCAGTTCTTTTCTTTTGTTGTTACTAAGTGTCCAGGAAGAATTTCCAAGGCCTGGACCGAGGAAGGACCCGCAGAAAGAAGCCGCCTTTTGCTTTATTAATTCGTCAAACGACATCTAAGATTTTTTGTTAAGATGCCCTCACCGATATTGTTTTCGCGTTTCGTCCTTCGCACCGCGGACCGCATACCAAATCCGAAGCGTTTGCTGTTCCCCGCCGAATTGAATACAGTTATGCTGTCATCTTGTAAGAAGAGAAAGAGGATTTCTGTTCTTTTACATAACTACGTTACCAATCAATTCTTCATCTACGACGCACAAAAGAATGCTGGCATGTTTAAAAGTGTTAATTGTGAATTACATTATCAATGCTAAAGCTTTTAAACGTTGTCTTAACAGAGCTGCATTAGCCACTTCACAATTGGCAAAAATATGTTAAACGATGTGCATAAATTTTTATTTTTTTTACTCACCTAATACATTATTCAAACTAAAATTTCGTTAAAATCATCTTAGTGGATATATTATCTCCTTTTTAATAGATATATACGTATATTAAAAACAAGTTAAATAAAAAAAATTTAAAATATTAAATGAACAATCGACAAAAGAAATATATTCAAAATCACTTTCAAACTTGAAAACGAAAATGGTACTAGATCATACACGTGTGACACACGTCTAAAATGACTTTCTGCTTATCCCGACAAATTGCCACCAGTCAAGAACCATACCATATTGATTTCTGTGGGTCTATTTTCATTAAAAAAGGCTGCAGAATTAAACACTTGCAATTACATTTAATATGGTAAATTGCATGATCAAATAAAATAAACGTTTAGCGTCCTGACCTAAATTTAAATATAGTCCTACCTTAAGGAGATAGATGTAATTGTTCAAAAAATAACCCCTTATTCTGTTATTGCACAAATTGCATGTTAAACCGACGTACTGTATATTATTTTATCTTACTACTGAAATGAAATAAAAAGTAAAATTTCTTACGTTAGGTTATGTTTTATTGTTACTATAAAATTCATTGACAAATATAAATCCTAATATGGATACTACAATCATATAGCGATTGTACGCATCCTTGGCGTTTAACGAAGGAAAATATCACAGACAATACCAAAGTCTTGCCACGACCGTCTTATGACCCCAACCTCGCGCAACCTGACGTTAGCAGCTAACATCATTTCACGTCACGTAACTGCAGATTATAAACTATGAACATGTGAAATTAAAATTAGAGGCGTTTTTCCTTGATAGGACAAAAATTGAATAGCCAAATTTAAATGATGGCTGAACTATTGATGAAATATACAAATGGTGAAGTTAGGTTGAATGAATAATTCTAATCTGGAATAATTTTTACTTAAGGAGAAACTAATACCACATGTTCAAACCGTCCCACAAAGATCTACTAAAAAGCGAATATTTAATTAATTGAAGAATAATTCTAAGGCCACAAGACCCAAGAGTGTTCGATGCTTTATATTCTAAACTACTAGGGTAACTAGAATAAAATATACATCTTCTTGTTACGTGCAGTGAATTCTTTTGTTCTGTTTACCGAAAAAAAGTTGGATTTCGTCCAAAACTGCCAAGTTTATAGAATACCTTAAAAAACAAAACCAGTTTTTCATGGTTTACCATTTTGCTAATTTTTGGCTTATGCGTACCCCAGGCTGAAGGGAATTCCTAAAATTTTAATTATTTTAGTTTTCAAGTCATAATTTATGAGTCAACTAGCATCTAACCTAATTGACCAAATGTTCCTGAGATTAGTCCACCTTGGCAGTCAATAACAATAATAATACTGGTACAGTCGCAGAAATCAACACTTCGATGTCAAAAATATAAATTGTACTGTTGTAAAAGAAACATCCGCATTGCTGAGAAAATACGGACGCACAATTCTCGTTGTTTTATACAGCCAAAAATGTGGCTGATCTATTTCCAAAAATACAAATTACAAAACAAGAAAACATTGTTATGTAGTACAATTTTTTTTATGGACGATATAAGTATAAATAATTACGTTCAAGTAAACATGGATGTATATATTTTGTTTCACCATGACAAAAATGTAAGATTATAAAATTAAGATTTACTTTAAGCAAATTGACTTAAACTTAAACTCGACTATTAAAAAACTCAATACGTACACAATAATAATATATTTTCATTTTTTCTAGAGAAAATTGTACTTTTATTAAGAAAAAAGAAAAGAAAACTGAAAACGTTTAATCACATCATCGGAGATTATGTTAATTGTCCACAGTTTGAGATGAGAACCTTTTTGGAAGGTTGGCCGTTTTGTGAGCCAAACCCTTCGATGGTTTTAACCACGTCCATTCCCTCGACGACTTTTCCGAAAACGACGTGCTTTCCGTCGAGCCAGCTCGTTTTCGTCGTTGTGATGAAAAATTGGCTGCCGTTTGTATTTGGGCCGGCGTTGGCCATCGAAAGCGTCCCGGGACCGAGATGCTTCAGATTGAAATTTTCGTCTTCGAAGTTCGTCCCGTATATGGACTTGCCTCCGGTTCCGTTGTGCTGGGTGAAATCACCCCCTTGGCACATAAAATTGGGGATGACCCTGTGAAAACTCGATCCCTTATAGCCGAACCCCTTTTCACCGGTACAGAGGGCGCGGAAGTTCTCGGACGTCTTCGGCACTAGGTCGTTCCTCAGCTCCATGACGATGCGCCCCAGGCGTTTGTTGTCCACCTCCATGTCAAAAAACACTTTCGTCAGAGACATAGCTTTCGATGTGAATCGTTGAATCACGTGCGGAAAAACTCGTGCAAAATTCGCTCTATCTAGTCTCAAAATCTTTGGACAGAATCGGCCCAAATTCATTAACACATCAAAGATACCACAACAATTTAAGACTATTGACAAATCTTACTTTACCCACAGTCGAACAATTTCACGTTCTACACTTCGCACAGCACCATGTGATAAATTGCGCTTTACCAAAGACAAAACACGATTTTTTTAAAACAGCAATTAAATCATATGTTTTATTATATATTTCTATCAACGATAACGTTTTTTATTTATCTTCTCTTTTCAATTTTAAAATTTTCTTGGTTAAATAATATTTTTATTACATATTTCATTCAGGTATAGTACTTTGAGTAAAGTGGTATTAGTACAATTGCGAGGCTCCCTTCGTGAACTTACCATTTTTTTTACTTCATTTATTTTTATCTAAACTAAACATGTATTATATACAACCGGGAGATTGGATTGCAATTTATGATTGTGGCATTACGGACGTTAGAAAGAAAGCTACCCATTGGCAGCCGCTCTGGTTTAATAAAATGATATTAATAATTTAAGAGGTCTCTTATCCATATTTTTTTCAGTCGCTTACATGGTAATTGTGTGATAGTGTGATTTTATAATTTACTATGAAAACGCCTGTAATCTGTTTTGACGGATGAAAAAATTGTTGGCATGTGAAAATCTCTGCGAAGTTGTTATTGTTTACGTAAAAAGGCGCAGAAACAATAAGTCTTACAATTTTGGATTGGATACTTTTTAATCTTTGAATGTGGAATATTTGGTATTAGTGGAGGATCAAAGTCATGACAAATATACTCGTTGAATTATCCACTAATTACGTTTATTAGTAAACATTTTCGCCACATTTTTAGCCAGACTTAACTCCTTCATACATGTCGGAATGGTATATTATTAAGAGAAATTAGAGAGAGGAGAGAGAGAGAGAGAGAGAGAGAGTGAGAGAGAGAGAGAGAGAGAGAAAGTGAGAGTTGTAATGTATATGTACATATTACTTTATTCCTTTACCCTAGTTTTTAAGCTATTTTTGCATATATGTAGTTTTTAAATTTTATAAATGTGTATATTTTTTCATGACAGCAATATCTTGCATTATATTTGAAAAATATATAAATAAATAGTTTAGATAATAGCTAACAGATACTGTCTCATTTTTTGAATGACACAAAATAACAGACTGATTCATCACATGTGTCTTTGTACACAGGACTCTATGGTTATGTGCACCTTTTTGACTTTAATTGGTAAAAAGTACACTACATATTTTTTTAAAATTTTCATTTTACTTTTTGAATAATAACACTTTTTTTACTTTTACTTCTGGAGGAAGGTTAGTTTAGAGATTAGTTAGTTTGATCTTCTTTAAGGCTTACGTATTAAAAAAAGAAAATATAACAAATACTCCATATTAAGGATCAATGCTTCCGTATTACATAAAAAACCAAAAAACGATAACTATGATATTCGAAATGTAGACAATGCTTTGGACTCGAACTGGGGTGAAATCCAGCTTACTCATTCGCCACACTTTCGGCGAGAAAGTTCCAATATCCATTGTCAAGGAGTGCCGACTACGCTATGTTGTGGAGCCCTCGACTATCAAAAGGACAAAATGGATTTCTGTCATGGCAATCGGAGACGAAAAAGCAAGAAAAAAAATCTTTATCGTTGTTACCATTTGACCAAGACTAAACGACTTGAAAGTAACGTTTTTTACACACCTTGAACAGGTACATTATAGCAACAAGTTTCAATGATTTCTACTTTATCGTCTCTCCGAGTCAAGTCCGTATGTGTAAGTCAAAGTGAAAGTTGTGTACATCGATTGAACCAATTCTACACTGACATTTCACGTGCAAGGAGTACAATAATAATTGTATTTGAATGGGTACCAGAACAAAAACAAACCAAAAAAACAATAGGTGAGATACAAGTGTACCTTCTTCATATTCTACCCTATAAAAATGAAGAGAAAATGTTAAGTCTTAAATTACAATTTGTAACAAAAATAATTCCAAATGTCATAAAAGTGATTAATTGTAGTTTTGTTAAATTTCACACATCACAGATTTTTGTTTTTACCTAATAATTTTGCATTGTTATTACAAATGATCATAATATTTCGTGGTTTATGTTAAAATTTATATTTTTATTTTGACAAAAGGCTCCTCAGCGAGAAAGAAATCTCAATCCCAGGTTATTATGTTGGGGAATGAAGACTTCTGGCGCATTGTTGGGAAAAAACAACTTGACCAGGCAAACCCGGTTTTTGTATTGATAAAGCTTCTCTCAATATCGAGGTCATAAAATATGAAGTGGATTTTAATTCGTGGAAAAAAATTGTCTTGCTCCGTGAATAAACAGAATAAGTCTTTGTAAGCTTAGGACTAAGCTTACCACGTAATAAAAGTCATTGTTGATTTTTTTTCTGTTCTTATAAGTTAATTTGTACAATGAAACATTCCAATCCAATGTGAAATAATCGTTTGACATAGACGTTTTTACGTTTCCTTCTTTCACCGGCACAGCGTGTGCCTTTTGCGACGGATTCAATGAAAAGGCATGTTTCACACACCTGGAACTCAGCGAGCACGTACGCCGCCACGACAGTCTGTTATGAAGCGTTTTCTCTCTCATATTTCTCACATCCGCGTACAAATTGCAACGTTTTGTACTTTTTCAACGGCGTAACTCACACCTTCAATAGTATTAAAGCTGCGATCTTTAAGTTGGATAATTTGGAAGGTTATTAAATGGATAACATTGCACCATTATCACATTAACATATTTAATCAGCGCGTACATCCCCCCAACAATACAAATCCAATTTGAGAGTATAATTTTCTGAACTAAAATATATAGTAGAAATGATGAAGGTGGGGTGAGTATGTTGGGTTCGGTTAGTACGTAGATTCACTTTTTGTAAATGGCGGTTCTACTTTGTAACAAGAACTATCATTTAAAAAAAGCGAAAATTATATAGGGTTTAGGACTTTTTAGGTATTGGCACAGCAAACAAACACATACAAAACGTAATGCTTGTTTTTGCGGACTTAGAATGGCCTTTGTGTGTGTTACCGATGGCTTGCTGAAATAAGATTGACTGAAAGGTTTTGCTGGAACTCTGGAGATTCCACTTATTGACACAACAAGCTATGTAATACGGTCATTTTTACTTATGTTTGAAATACACTGAAGGAAAAATTTAACGCACTCAATTTATTTAGTTTAAAATTAAATCCATTAACTTTCTACATTAGTTACAGGTAATTAGGAGCTATCATAGTCAAAATAAACAGTAAGTAATGCTTGGTTTACTTTTGTATATTGATTAATCCCATTTGAACAAAAATTAGAATTATGCCGTTCCATTCTGGTACGGCTAAAGCTCGCTTTCAGTTAATCCTTCGCTTATTTCATTTAATATTATTCTTATTCGTAAATTCTTGTTCAGTGGCTCCAGTCAGGCATTTGAATGAGTATGACGGTGTCAGGGTCATTAAATTATCAAGAAAGGTTACAGCCAGCGACAAGCCGCGAGGAGACTGAGTACAAATTACTCTTGAGTAGGAAGGATTCTTCGGCGCTTCAGAAAAAAAGGGATCACACTAGAAATCAAGGACAGGGTCGATTTAGGTCTACAGACCAGAGAAACGATAGATTCATCTGTCATCAGGCTCTATAGAACTGCATCATTACGGGAAATGAGATAAGAAATTTGATAAGACAAGTTCGAAATATTTCGATTTCCTCCAGCACAGTAAGAAGAAGGCTCATTGAAAATGACCTCAGATCCCGGCATTCGGCTCGTGGACCTCTTCTTACCGCAGTTCAGACAATGGCTAGACTTCGCACAGGAATATGTGAATAATACATTAGTGGACAGTAGAGAGGCTCAGGAGAAAAGTAAGCTGTATGATTCCTCAGGTGGCATTACACGGTGGGTCATTGATGTTCTGGGTGGCATTTCCTTGGACTCTCACACCGAATTCTAAGAGGTACTTACAAGACATAATCGAAGAATAAGTAATGCCATTTGCACCCATATTAGTGAAAGATTCTTCCTAATGCATGATAATGCCAGGCCCCGTAGAGCACGTCTTGTGGATGACTACCAGAATGACGTTCGAAATGAGTGCTTAGTGCGGCCAACTCGAACAACCAGCGGAGAGACCGTTGCGCCAACCCTGCGCTTAAATGTGAGGGCTGACAAACATCAGTATGCTATTCGACATCGCTTTTAAAATTCAAGGAAACCATTCCAACTTTGTTTAATTTGGTTAAGCGTTTACAAATTTGGAATCAATAAAGGGAGCCTTTTAATTCTTTCCTAACTGGTAGTTATTCAGGTGGGGCCGTTTTATAGGCAATAAAACGTGCTTAATGGGTGCAATTAAAGGTGCAAACAAGTAGCGCGCGGTTGATATACTATTCAAACAACGCCACACCTTTAGCTGCCTTTGGAATGGAGACAAAAGGGGCGATAAAATCGTACGAGGTCTGGCTATCTTATTAGGTTTTGACGTGTCCTCCTAATTGAAATTGGAAGACCCCTCCCGAACTTGACACAGTTAGCCATGCTCAGATGGCAGATCAGCAGTTTTTCCTGCTGTTGCGACACGGCGCCGGTCTTACGACGTCTGTCGCAACCGTCTCGAAAACAATGGAATACGACATGGAAAAATAACATTATTTAAAAAAACATATTGGGTTGTCCGGAAAATAATGCAGGATTTTAAGTTTTCATTCAAAAAAATCTATATAAAATATTCTGTTTACGTTTACAGGATTACTCATTTGTATGAATGTCAACACTTATTAATCCTCTTCCAAATGATATTGTTTGTTTACCTCTGTAGCATTCCGCTACTTGGAAATAATTCAGTCATCCTTATAATGTCAAAGCGAGAATTTCGTACGATTTTCTTTTACGAGTTTAAACTCGGCCGAAGCGGAGCCCAAACGGCTAGAAACATTAACCAAGTCTGGGGCGAGGGTTGTGTTAATGAGTGCACTGTGCAAAGGTGGTTTAAAAAATTTCGGGAGGGAGATTTCAGCCTTGAAGATGAAGAAGGTCGTGGAAGGCCTTCCTCTCTTAATGATGATGTTCTGCGATCAGTGGTGGAAGAAAACCCCAAAACAACTGTTCGAGAACTTGCAGAGCAACTCAAAGTCAGTAAAACGACCG